TGGACCATCAGAGAAGTTCCTCAACTTCCTTCTAAATATGTCACCCAGGGTTCCCTTCCATGGACCAGCAGTCCAACTCTATGCTATGTCATTCTCTGAATACAGTTGATATTTTCTCCATCTCTTTGCACATCTGCCTACAATCCAATGGTCATCTATATTTGAGATGCTAATAGAAAGGTATTGTGCATTTTCAACTAAGTATATCCCTAAATATCTAATGTTTTTGAATCTACTGTAAATTATTGGGTTGCTGTTAATTTTTATTTTCTAATTGCTCATGCTATTTTAAAGAGGTACAATTTGTATTTTGACCTTTTTCTTGCCACTCTGCCACTTGTAAGTTCTAGAAGCTTATTTGGAGATTCTTTAATGTTTATCAAATATATGACCTTATTGTCTAGAAATAAAGATGCTTTTGCTTCCTCCATTCTGATCTGAATTTCTTTTCTCTTTCTTGCCTAATTAAACTGGCTAAGAAGTCCAGTCAATGCTGAATAGAAGTGGCTAAATCCTCACCTATTTCGCATCTTGGATGGAAAGTGTTCAGTCTTTTACTGTTAAATATCATGACAGCTGTATATGTTTAATGCATGCCCATTACCATCTTGAGGAGGTTTCTGTCTACTACAACCTGCTGCAAGTTTATAACATAAACAAGTGTTGAACTTTGTCAAATGCTTTTCACATAGTTTTTTCTATTTTATTCTGTGAATATGAAGTACATCTATTTTTTCGTAATTAATACTTTATTTTTTAAAGCAGTTTTAGGTTTACAGAAAAACTGACCAGCTATTGCAAAGAGTTCCCATATACCCCCTCTTCATAAACACCCTCTCAGCAGTTTATTACTAATAACTTTATTAGTTATGCTATATTTATTATAATCAATAAATCAATATCAATACATTATTAACAACTAAATTCCATACGTCAAGGTTCACCCTTTCAGTCCTATGAGTTTTGATAAATGCATAATGTCATATATCTACCTTTACAGTATCATACAAAATAGTTTCACTGCTCTAAAAATCCTGTACTTCACCTATTTATTCATCTCTCCTCTCCTCTCACTCCTCCTGGCAACCACTGCTTTTGCCCCTGTTTCTCTGAAGGCATCCAAGTTTGCATTAAATTTTAATTTGGATTTAAAGTGGATCTGGCATATTTTAAATGCTGAATTAAAGATAGCTATTATTAATAGAAACAATGAAAATACCATAGCATTCTAAGAGCACAGTTCCAAGGACAGATAAAAAGACTGTGAGACTTCTTTCCTGTGTAACAGCTGGGTAGGAACAGTGATAACTCAACCAAATATTCCAAGAGACAGCCCCTCCTTTCTCCTAATCAGCACCTCTACCTTAGAATATTTTTAGATAAAATGTGCAAAATCCTCACACATAATAGAAACAGAAAATACTATAGGGAGGTGATTATTATTTACCAACATCATTAGGCATAATTTCAATAATTGTCCAAACACAGACTACAGGAAAAGGCAGATATTCCTCAGGAAAACACAAATTAATATAATGACAAGAGAATCCAAATCACTGGTGAGATTTGTAAGGTCCAATGGGCACTTTCCCTCTGGGGACAGGCCACAGAAGACGATCGGGATTACGACCCAGCCGGGCATTTGGGTGTCCTTGAGAATGGAATTAGGACAGAGTGTTTGGCTCAGTTCAGTTCAGTTCAGTCGCGCAGTCGTGTCTGACTCTGTGCGACCCCATGGACTGCAGCTCGCCAGGCCTCCCTGTCCATCACCAACTCCCGGAGTTTACTCAAACTCATGTCCATTGAGTCAGTGATGCCATCCAACCATCTCATCCTCTGTCACCCGCTTCTCCTCCTGCCCTCAATCTTTCCCAGCATCAGGGTCTTTACTAATGAGTCAGTTCTTTGCATCACATGGCCAAAGTATTGGAGTTTCAGCTTCTGCATCAGTTCTTCCAACGAATACTCGGGACTGATTTCCTTTAGGATGGACTGGGTGGATCTCCTTGTAGTTCAAGGGACTCTCAAGAGTCTTCTTCAACTCCACAGTTCAAAAGCATCAATTCTTTGACACTCAGCCTTCTTTATAGTCCAACTCTCACATCCAAACATGACTATGGGAAAAAACCAGAGCTTTGACTAGACGGACCTTTGTTGGCAAAGTAATGTCTCTGCTTTTTAATATGCTGTCTAGGTTGGTCATATCTTTTCTTTCAAGGAGCAAGCGTCTTTTAATTTCATGGCTGCAGCCACCATCTGCAGTGATTTTGGAACCCCCCAAAATAAAGTCTGTTGTTTCCATTGTTTCCCCACCTATTCTCTGGCTCAGTCTTTAGCAAAGTGGTTCTGTCCACCAGTGAAGGGAACACATGATTTAGCTAAACTTGAACCTTCTTTCTACTAAACTGGTGAAGTGTCCTTCTGGTACAACAGTTTTTTCTTTTTTTTCTTCATTCATTCAACAGTCATTGTGTAGATGCCATGTAAAGGTTCAAGTATAGGTTTTTAATATTTTGTCCAGTCTTAGCTGTCAGTTTTGCAGAAGTCAGAACAGGACTTTCTATCGTATGAGTTTGACAGATAGTTTCCTCTTGATTTTATATTACATTACGCACATGTTCTGTACTTCAACCTCATTAGAATGCTAGGATCTGGTCTGATTCATGCAGCACTTGGCCCTTGCCCAGAATATTTGTTAAATGAAACCAACTTGTCTTCTCTGGTGCTTTTACTAATTATGCATGTCAAAATCTCATTGTCTGAAATAAATAAAAGTTCATGCTTATATAGTCATCATTAAAAATATGTTTCCCATTTGCTTTCAATATTCATAGTTTCTGCATGAAAAGACCTTATCTATCTTAGCATCTTTTTTAAAAATTTCAGTTTGCTATGTCATTTATTTGAATTTAAGATGATCTACATACTTTCCAGATGTGCCTTACGGCATGCACGGGCACACACACACACACTCACACATAGGTGTGCGCATGTATATATGTATATTTATATTTAATGTCATTCATTTTACCTTGGAAATTTCATGACACTTCATAGGAACTATTAATAGGATACCTAGTGAAACCACGAAACTATTATATACCAGGTAGAAAGTAACCAGAACATTTCTGTATATAAAACAATTAGTGATTTTTTAAAAATGTGGTTTCGTGCCTCTTTTTCATTTCACTGCTTCTCCTTCATTAAGTAACCCTATGCGGAACTGCTCAGGATTTTAGTGCCTTTTTCTGTAGGGAGAGAAGTAAATACATCACAAGGTTGGCTGTCTGTTCTGAAACCTTTAGGAACCAACAGCAAGGGAAGAAAGAGCTACTTAAGGGGAGCTCACATCTTTCTGAGTAGCAGAGACATTTTTGGTTACACATTTCCACATCAATAGGGGCTTCCCATGCGGCGCTAGTGGTAAAGCACCCGCCTGTCAACGCGGGTTCAATCCCTGGGTCGGAAAAATCCCCTGGAGTAGAAAATGGCAATCCACTTCAGCATTCCTGCCTGGGAAATCCCATGACAGAGGAGCCTGGAGAGCTACAGTCCATGGGGTCACAAAAGACTCGGAAATGACTGAGCACACACACCACATCAATGATTGCTCAGGAATAACCTTCTAATCCCTCAGATTTGGCCAGGATGCGAGTGCTTTTATTTTTAAACATCATACACTGCCTCTTTCTTAAAAGATTTCATATTATTTGTTCAATGCACGGCTTCCTTACTGGAGCTGGAACTCTTAACGCCAAGGACAATTCCTATACTGCCTTAAATAAACATAAAGGATGACACTTAGCATTTTAGGGAGGTCTCAATACTCCAAAAGCTAAATTAGATTTTCCTTCATAATCCCAGAGATAAGTAAGTCTAATCTATCCTGGATTTCTTCTCCTTACCCAACGTGTCTTAGATTCTGACCATATAATATATGTGGGTGTAACCTGACTTGATCCCATCTCAAAAACCAAAGCTACAACCAGCATCACTGGTCAGAGGCTGATTGCATTTCTCCTTCCTTTTGGTACTAAGTGTCCCTTGGATAACCAATAAAATACTCACTGGTAATAAAAATCAGCCTTCATTCATGCAAGAGTTGATCATTCAGATGATGTCCTGCTTCTCACTGTCTTCTTTTTCTACCTACTCTTTAATTTTGAGGCTTCTCACCGGCACGCATGTCAACAAAGGCTGGCCGGAGCACGGGGCTAGCTCTAATTAGTGGACTTTGCAATGGGCTAGAAACTCCAAAGGAGCACAGAAAGTTGGCAGATGGCTGAAACTCTAAAAGTCTGGAGAATTTTTCTGATGATATCAATGATTCTTAGTAGGACACAGAAAAGATAGTCTGTCCAGTCAATAACCCAGTTACCAACCTACCATGATGTTACCATTTCTGTCTTCCCATTTTCTAGGTGATGATATTATATAGCTCTGCATTACCCTATGAAGGCTTCCTTCATAGCTCAGTTGGTAAAAAATCTGCCTGCAATGCAGGAGACCTGGGTTTGATCCCTGGGTTGGGAAGATTTCCCTTGGAGAAGGGAAAGGCTACCCACTACCGTATTCTGGCCTGAGAATTCCATGGACTATAGTCCATGGGGTAGCAAAGAGTCAGACATGACTGAGCAATTTTCACTTTCACTCTCCATTACCCTATCTGTGAATTACTGTTATTATAAATTATTTCCTCTCTCTGGGCCTCATGTCATCATCAACAAAATATAAACAACAGTCAGATAGGTTTGTCCTGAAAACCCACGCATTAGTTCCAAGGATGAAATAATGTATGAAAGTGCTTTATAAGATGTAGAGGACCATTCACATTTAATATTATTACCAACATTAACTGTTCATGGTTTAAGTTTTACATTAGAATGCCCAGCTGTCTTCTCAAAAGCAGAGGTGTTTCAGAGGGGTCATTGTGACGGATGAAATTCAAAATTTTGGCACACTTGGCCAGCATGCATACCAAATTCCATATCGGTGCTTACCTTGGGAGGTTTCCTGAATGACGGAAACAAAAATTTCAGCAGCAGAAGTAGAGAGGGTTGTCCACACAGCAGCGATACATCAGAAGGAAGCAATGAAAGAAAAAAAAAAAAAAAGGCAAACTCAGCATCTTGATTACATGATCTAATATATGCTCTACTTCACAAAGATCAGAAGCCAAATTTACTCCACTGCCTGAAGCAATAAACTCTTATAGTTGCTCAAAAACACAGTGTGGGCATAATAAGTTTCTTCCTTGGCTTAACAGAATCTATCCAGTCATTTAAAGGTATTTTTAATGATTATAAAATGGCCAACAAAAAGAGCATCAGGAAGAAAAAAAAAAAAGAAATACGCTGCAATCATATTGCTTGTGGTCAAATACTTCAAAATCAATTTTCATATTTGAATTTTTTTTTAATTGGCATATATATATATATTTCCTTTGAAAAATACTCTAATCAATATGGGATTTCTCCCCCATTTAGAAAGCATTGTTTAGATGACAATTTTCACATATTTCAACCCTGAATATAAATTTAAAAGCAAATTGCATCCTGATCATCAACCACGCATGAATTTTTTTATCATTCAATTTTGTATTAAAAAAAAAAAACCACCTCTGCATCCAGTAAAATCTCTGAAAAGGAAATAGTTTTCAAAGTAACAAAACATTAGACTAACTTGCTTGGTAAATGTTTTGATTGTGTACAAAGTTAAGGAGCTGAACTATGATTTATATGGTATGTAATCCTATCACAGGGGCTTGACCTTCTGGACGTGGTTATTCTTAACTAGTCTCCAATACATCGATTCAGAAACTCCAAAATGATTATTAAAAAGAAATGGGGGGGGTGCTTTCCTGTGGCTTTAATCTTTCTTCATAGGGAATAGAACCATGAGAATTAAAAAAAAAAAAAAAGGATTTTCCAGGGCAGAGGGCATGGGAACTAAAATGTATAGGCACGCACAGCACGGTGCCCTGCCCTTTCTCCATCACTGTGTTCAATGATGAGGCACAAACTGCAATCAAGATTGCTAGCAGAAACATAAATAACCTCAGATATCCAGGTGACACCACTCTTAAGGCAGAAAGCAAAGAAGAACTAAAGAGCCTTTTGAGGAAAGTGAAAGAGGAGAGTGAAAAAGTTGGCTTAAAACTCAACATTCAGAAAACTAAGATCATGGCATCTGGTCCTGTCACTTCATGGCAGATAGATGGGGAAACAGTGGAAACAGTGACAGACTTTATTTTGGGGGGCTCCAAAATCACTGCAGATAGTGACTGCAGCCATGAAATTAAAAGACTCTTGCTCCTTGGAAGAAAAGTTATGACCAACCTAGACAGCATATTAAAAAGCAGAGACATTACTTTGCCAACAAAGGTCCGTCTACTCAAAGCTATGGTTTTTTCCAGTAGTTGTGTATGGATGTGAGAGTTGGACTATAAAGAAAGCTGAGCACCGAAGAATTGATGCTTTTAAACTATGGTGTTGGAGAAGACTCTTGAGAATCCCTTGGACTGCAAGAAGATCCACCCAGTCCATCCTAAAGGAAATCAGTCCTGAATATTCACTGGAAGGACTGATGCGGAAGCTGAAACTCCAGCACTTTGGCCACCTGATGTGAAGAACTGACTCACTGGAAAAGACTCTGATGCTAGGAAAGATTGAAGGCAGGAGGAGAAGGGGACAACAGAAGATGAGATGGTTGGATGGCATTACTGACTCAATGGACATGAGTTTGAGTAAACTCCGGGAGCTGGCAATGGACAGGGAGGCCTGGCGTGCTGCAGTCCATGGGGTTGCAGACAGTCAGACAAGTGAGCGACTGAATGGAACTGAACTGTGTTCAATATCCCTCCCAGAACTCTGAGGCCCCCCAAATAAAACCCAGAGTTCAATATCAAGAAAAGAAACTCCATGGATTCCACAATTAGGTAGATAACCCTAACCTTTAAATCTACGGAAAGAAAACCATGACATTTATAATGATGAAGATAAAGAATTATCTTCTTGAAATTCCATGAATTAGCTAAAAAGAAATGAATCCTTATGTCATGACCGCAGGCAGAGATAAGAGGAATGTGATTTCAGAGGGAAACTACCTAGAAAAACTGGTATATCAAGTTGCAATTAAGAAGTTTCAACCTTCTGTGCATCTATCCTTTTAAACAAGACAAACATTTATGGATGCTGTTATAACAATGCACACATGTTTTTAAATCTAAGAGAGCCATGGGCCTTTGCTCTGTACCTAAAGCTTGAGGTTTCTTCCAAGAAAATTTCTTTAAGTGGAACAACTGCTCTAAAGGGCATCTGTTCTGAACAGGTTGAACAATAATAATAATAATAATAATAATAATAAAAACATCACTCACAGTACTTTTGATAAAGCCTTCTCTTATATTGCCTGCTTTATTTTTTAAAAGCCATTTAAATCACAGCTTTATTTAACGAGGTAAAGAAAAGCCACTTGACTTGGCCTACAATAAAGCAACCATATGAGACAGCATGGGACAAATTAGTAAAATACATGTTTCACATTAAGGCTACAATGAACCAAGGAATCTAACGGGGGTGGAACATGCTAACAGAAATCCCAGGGATTTCCCCAGGGTTCCCCTGTGCTTCACGACTGTGTAATAATCATCACCAGCAGCAAAGAATAAGTGTTGGTTTTTAGCCAGTAGTACCCTGACCTCCTTTGCCACCCAATAAGAGAGCGATCCTTTCCTTACTGACATTTGAACACAGTTTTCTTTATTCCTATTAGGAAACCAATCCTATTTCAGCATTTTAAGTACTTTGTTAAGTGTATCTCTTTAGCTTAGAAAGCAAGCACATAATATGGGAATGCCAATATAATTCCTCTACCTTCTTTTATGTTTCTGAGGATGGTTGTTAGGAATAAATGGAGGGACTTCCTGGGTGGCCCAGTGGCTAACACTCTGCACTCCCAATGCAGGTGGCCCAGGTTTGATCCCAGGGCAGGGAACTAGACCCACACGCCACAACCAATACCTGGCACAGCCAAAACAAATAAATAAATATTAAATGTTAATAATAAAAAATGGAGACCAGGATGCATGGGGGAAAGGCAGGTCACTAAGTGAGACTGCTGCTACCCGAATTACTCATCATTTTAGATCAAGGATCCTGGCTGCAGAAGGAAAAGCCAGTCATTTGGTTTATCACAACTATACTTCATTAACTGATAAACATTTCTTGAGGTTTGAATTAGCTGATAAGAAACTAAGCATCCTAATCCAGAACCATAGTTTACTGCCCCAATTTCCAGAGGCTCTGTATTTTCTGGTAATTGTGAAGAAAAAAGTTTTCCAACATGAGTAATACTGATACTATAACCAAATGCAGCATGTTATCCTTTGCGGGGAGGGGGAAGGAAAAACTAATGTGATATTGCAATGTAAAGGTAAAAGTTTTCTCTCATGTATCTATGAAAAAAGATGAATATAAACATCTATTGTGAACATAATCAATATTAAAAAATATATATTTTTAAGAACTCACTGACCTGCAGACACAGGCTTAGAGAGAAAATAAGAACGTGTGGTTCTCCACTGATTGATGGTAACCCTACTATGTAAAACACCAAAGGTTCTTTCCACTCTCAGGACAAACAAGTTGATGGGTCTCTTCAAGGTCACCCACACTTGATGCACTCCCCACAAAACTCTTATAACTTCCATGCCTTTCACCCACTTGGTCTCTTCCTTCGGCCTGACCAAATCGCACCCCTCCAAAACCCAGCTCCAGGCTCCACCCTCAATTCCTCACCAATTGTTTGAGACCACACTGGCCTTCAGCAGCTCTGATAGCTGAAGATAGTTGAACAAAACAACCTAACATCACTGCCACACATAAAGTCCTGCAGTCTTCTGTGATCCTGTCTGAATTTGAGTCTTGTGTATCCTTAAGACTTAAACCCTTGAAAGCAGAGGCCCTGCCAGGTACTACTTGCATGATATCTCAGTCCTCAAGCCCACACAGTTATGTAATACTAAAATCACTGGAAGAACTCAGAAGTAAGTTTGTACACTTGTGGCTTAAACATAATCTAGATGTGAAGCCTTTCTTTCATCACCACCACAATCTCACAATTCCAAAGTTTGGGGGGCAGCAGTGAAGGTGTCAAGGACTGTCAGAAAATGGAGACCATTTCCTATGTCTTATTTAAATATAATTATTTCTCTAGATCAGCATTTCACACAGAGAAGTTAAATGCGATGTTAGCTAGCGTTGAGTCCTCAAGAGCTTCAGAAGTCAACTAGACTCAGAAATGCAGGTTCAGTTTGATGATACAAGACACACACATACACACACACACACAGATATGGGACTGTAAAGATAAGCGGGACCTGTATCTGGCCAGGTCTTGAAATGAGCAGTAGGTACTGAATTTAGTAGGCTGTATAAGAGTTTAACAAGAGAGTGAAATAAATAAGGCAGTATAAACAGCAAATTACAATGACAATAATCCTATGTAGCTGTCATTCTCTCTTCACACCTTACACCAAAAGATGATGCTCGGGGCAAGGAGCCTTTTGTCCAGTATTTACAGCCCATCAACTACAGCGTGAGCTACTTACAAGTCAGATGGCCCCAAACTCCAATACCCACAAGCTCTAACCCCAGTCAGCGCTTCAAGAGACACGAATGATGAGTGCCTTCTTCAGAAACAGAAAATTCTCTTCCATGTGCTAAAAAATGTTTTGACTAATTGTTGGAAATTGCCAACCTACATCGGAAAGATACAGAATTAAATGATATTTGACTCTTAGAGACTACTCTAAGGACTTATACTTTATAAAGCCCTTGACTTTCACCTTCCACTTTCACTCTGAGAACTAAACATCAGAGTCCAGGTAACCCTGTTAAACTGGCAAGCATTTACTGAGTACCGATCACTACACTGAACATCATAGGTGCTTTGAGGGATAAGAGAGGAATGGGGCATAGTCTCTGACCTCAACACCTTGTGAGAGAGACAGA